GTCTCTCCCCAACCCCAAGGTCAGTCCCATTCTACATCAGTGGCACCATGCAATATTTGTCCTTTTGTGACTGGGATATTTCACTCAGCATAATGTTCTCCAGAGTCAACCATTTTGAATTATATTGCATGAGTTCCTTGGTTTTCAATGCAGCATAGTATTCGGAGGTTAGGATTTTTGAAGCTTCATCTTACATACTTTGGGTATTTGGCCAGGCTGGACTGATCGTTGAAGAAGGACATAATGCTTGAAGGGTAAAGGGACAGCACAAGAGAGGAAGACCCTGGATGAGATGGATTGATATAGTGACTAGGGTAATAGGGATAGGTGTGTTGGAGTCAGTGAGACTGGCTAAGCAGAGGACAGGCTTCAGAGCTCTTGTACATAGGGTCACTACTGGTCACAGAAGACTCACATGATGGCACATAACAACAACATGCAGACTTTATAGATCTGGAGAAGGAATAATATCCCTGACATACACCTTTTCTGATTTTAAACCTTATAGTATTCTCTTGTTCCATTTGGATAACTGCTGCTTGGTCAGTCTGTGGATAGCTTTTCCATAAGCACAGTTAAGTGTTCCAGGATACTTTTTTATGTCAGCCATAATTTCTTACGATCCACACTGTGAAATGCCTTTGCAAAGTAAATAAAACACAAGTACGCCTCTTCCTGGTATTCTGCACTTTGAGCTAAGATCCATCTGATATCAGCAAGGTTATTCCTCATACCACAGCCTCTTCTCAATTGAGCTTGGATTTTTGTCAGTGCCCTGATGATGTACTTTACACCTGTTTTTAAATGATCTTTAACAAAATTTTGTTTGCATGTTGTGGTAATGATTTTTTTTTTTTTTTTATAATTTCCACATTCTGGGAGTTGCACTACTAACCACAAGGCAGTGCTGCTTCGGTGGTTTCTAATCCGTCAGCAATACCTCAAGAGAAAAATAGACTGTCTCCTCCTGTGCAGCTTTATAGCTTCTGAAAAACCCCTGAAGTGTCAGCTGAGTCATTTCCAGTTCAGTGGCAGAGAGAGAGTAGAGTATGTAGAAGATACTATGTCATCACTAAGTGTAGTAACTAAATGTTCTAGTGTAACATTGACTGCTCTATTCTTGAATAATGTTTCCTAAATCACTGATAGAGATTATTACAGAAACCTGTACCAGTGAGATGGTGTCACATAGTAAGTCCTAACATTTAAATAAGGGATCAACTGTTCTTATTGTTGTTATGTGCCGTCAAGTTGCTTGCGACTCATAGCAACCCTATGTACAACAGCCCTAAACTTTGCTCTATCCTGTGCCAATCGCACTGCCTCTGACACACCCATCCTGATTACCCCAGTCACTGAATCAATCCATCTCATAGAGGGCCTTCCTCTCCTGCTCTGTCCCTCCATCCTCCCAAGCATGATGTCCCTCTCCAAGGATCTCCTTACAACATGTCCAAAGTATGTTAGATGAAACCTCAGAATCCTTGCCTTCAATAAGAAGCCCAGTTTAACCCTCTCCAGGATCTTAGAGGGAAATATTTGAGTACTGAATACTTTGTTTTTGCTTAAGATAAAACTGAGAAAGTAATGTTTTGTTTAAATATTGAATTATCCATAAAGACTAAGGAGTACATAATTTCTCCTGGGTTTTTATTATTTGTTTGTTAATATTTAAAAAGTGGTATACACATCCATGTTTGTTGCAAAATTATTTACAATAGCAAAGACTTGGAAACAACTAAATAATCAACAGCAGAAGAATGACTGAAGAGGCTGTGGCACGTTTACACCATGGAGTATTATGCATCACTAAACAATGTTCAGGAATTCAAAAAATACTGCACAATGTGAATTGATGTAGAACAAATTATGCTGAGTGATCCAAGTCAGTCACAAAAGGACAGTTACAGAGTAAGACCACTATTATTAAAAAGTTAAGGAAAGATAGATAGAATCAGTCTTGGAGTTTTAGCAGGGATGAGGTTGGAGGGGTAGAAGTGAAAATTAATACATAGATCAGCTGAGGGAAGAGAAAGACAAGGTACAGTATGGGTTTATTTTGTTGTTGTTGTTGTTATGTGCCATCGAGTCGTTTGTGACTCATAGTGACCCTATGTACGAGAGCCCTAAATGCTGTTCTATCCTGTGCCAACCTTGCTGTCTCAAACACATTCATTCCCACCACTCCACTCACAGAATCGATCCATCTCATTGAGGATCTTCCTCTCCTTCACCGTCCCTCCACTCTCCCAAACATGGTGTCCCTCTCCAAGGACCGGACTCCTTGCAACATGCCCAAAGTATGTCAGACGAAGCTTCAGAATCCTTGACTTCAGAAAACATTCTGGCTTCACTCTCTCCAGGACAAACCTGTTTGTTCTCCTAGCAGTCCATGGTATATTAAACACTCTTCTCCAGGACCACAGCTCAAAGGCATCAATTCTCTTTCTGCCATCCCTATTCACTGTCCAACTCTCCAGTACATAGCATGTAATTGCAAAGACTGGCGCACCTTAGTCTCCAGCCTGACGTCATTGCACTTCAGTACTCTTGAGAGTTTAATTGGGTTTAATTAGACATTGTCATTAAATAAATCAATTTAATCAAATAAACAAATTGTCTATGAATGATTATGTGAAAACCATTATGGTTTATAAACCTCTATTTTTTAAAAAAGGCATAGAATATATTTTTTAAAATTTATACTGATTTATTTACAAAGTTTGACATTGTTTTTCACAAAAGATCCTTCCCATTTCCTTTATCCCACCCACCCACTGAATTGTGCAACTCCAATTAACACCCTAACCCCCATCCTCACCCCTCTATTTCCGCCCACCTCTTGGATCCTCATACTCATTCTACAATAATGGTTGGTTTTGTGGGTTTTTTTACAATAATGGTCTTGTACAGTATTTGCCCTTATGGAACTGAGTTAGTTCACTCAGCATCTCTAGTCCCTCCCAAATTAGGCAGTAATTTATAAAATCATTGCTCCTGCATGCTGTATAGTATCCCATTGTTTAAATGTACCACAGCTTCTCAATCCATTTTTTGTGGTTGGACATCTGGGCTGTTTCCATGTTTTTGTAATGGTGAATAATGCTGCTGTGAACACTGGTGTACAAGTTTCCAGTTGTGCCTCAGTTCCCATTTTTTGAGGGGTATATTTCAAGCAGTGGATTAGCTGGGTCATATTTTGAGGAAGCACCAAACTGCCTTCCAGAGTGGTTGTACCATTTTACAATTCACATCACATCCTCTCAACATTTATTTCTTTAAAAAGGCATAGTATATAGTGTAGGATATATGGAAAACTCTGCCTAGTCCCCATATTTTGTTTTTAACTAATATTCTTTTCACTTCAAGAAAAGTGAAGTTGCATTTATTTTTTTATTGTCATTTTAATGAAACTTTACAGAAAACTGGATTTTCATTCATTCATTATTGCACATTTTCTTCCCTTCACTCCCAGTTCACTTTTTAAAAATTCATTCATTGTTGCATAGTGAAGTTGCATTTAATTGTATTACTCTGAAGGTACAAAAGGGTATGATTATAATCTATGCAGTTGAAGAAACATACACAATGTTTTTTAAAAATATTTCATAATTTGCATTAAAAATTTTAAATTGGCATAATCATTTGATGTTGTCTGCTGTCACTGAGTGCACATTAGAGATTCTGGGTTGGTTTGCATGCGAGTGTGTGTATGTGTCTATTTGTTTCTTTAAAAAGCCCTAAAGCTAAAACTTGTCTGATACTAGAATTCCTTCTGATACCTTCGCACAGGTATTAGAGTACCCCTGCACCGTTGTTTATTAAAACAGTTTATTGAAAATATTTTATCCAGTGGCTTCATTATATATGAACAGGTTTTGGTGAAATGTACATTATTTATAATACCTGCTTTGTTATTAAAAAGATGTTGTTGTTATGTGCCGTGAGTCTGAACCAACTCATAGCTGACCCTACAGTGGGACACACAAGGAGATTATCTATCTTTCATGAAGCAGCTGGTAGATTCAAACTGTGTGTCTTTCAGTTGGCAGTGCAGCTCCTTACCACTAGGCTATCAGTGCTCCCTAAGAGTGTTCTGTTTGTCTTTTGTGAGTAATTTATTTTTAGCATGCTTAAAGAAACTTTTAGTAATGTTTCATTTAGAGAAAATTTTTAATGTTTATATATCTCGCTTTTCAGTGCAACTTGGCCACATGCCGTCCGTCGACTTGCAGAGTCTTATTTGAAAGACCCTATGATTGTATATGTTGGCACTTTGGATCTAGTCGTAAGTTTGTTTTTAAAAACATTTCTTATTAAAATTTTAAGCATAGACAGTTTTTGCTTGTCTTGGAGGTGCAAGTGGCCACACTTTATCTTTCATACTTTGGACATGTAGCTAGTGAAGCTATTCTTTTGAAAGGGACATCATGCATGGAAAAATGGAGAGTTAGAGAAGTAGCGGAAGACCCCCAGAGAGATGGACTGACGCTGTGACTTCAGCAATGGGCTCTAGTGTGTCAGAGATGATGAGGATTTAACAGGATAGGGCAGGATTCAGGTTAGCTGTTCATAGGATTGCTATGAATCATGTTTGACTTGTTGGCACTTAACAACAACTCTGCCCACTTTCCAATTTTAGAACAAATACCAGATGCATATAATTTTAGCTGCAAATACTTCATCATGTTACTCTAAAAGACTTTTTACTTAGTACAGTTATCTCACATTAAAAATTTTAGTGATTGTGTTATGTCACCAGATACTCAATAAGTATCCATATTTTCTACAGTCTGTAGATCTTTGAACATATACACATATGCACATATTGCCCAGTGAGTTGACTGTTAAAATGGCTTTTCTAGCCCTTTATCTTTGCTTGCCACCACATGCAAACTAGGTGAGTAAATGACACATGATGGGATTCGTCAGTTTGTCATCCCACTAGGTTTAAATCAAGCAGGGTTAGTTATCTGGAGAAAAGTAGAAACTTCACTGTCAATAACAGGCACAGAATGCAGCATACGTCCTTTGGGCCCAGACATTCCTGTGCCAGTCAAATGAGGACCTCGATGAAAGCAGCCGCAACAACATAGAACCAGAGACCAGCCTCTCTATCTCAGCGAACCAGAGATAGGGGACTTCCATCCACAGAACCAGAGCCAGGAGCCTTAATTCAAGCTTGCTGGAGGCCTAGTTAAGGGGAGACAACATAATTGGTAGGACTAAGGGAGCTCTGGTGACCCAGTGGTAAGAAGCTGCACTGCAATCCCAAAGGCACTTGGTTGGAATCTACCAGCTGTTCTGCATGAGAAGGATGGGAAGTCTCCACCCATGTGATTTACTGCCTCTGGAAGCCTGCTGGAGGCTCAGCCATGGCCCAGTTTCAACTCAACAGCACACAATAACCACAGCAACAAGAAGGAAGCTTTGTAATACTGACCTAAAACCAAGGGGCTGATGATCTAGGGGCCTTCAAGGATGCTTGCAATGCTGTCCTGATTGCAGAATCATCTATTTTCAACAAGAATTGAAACTTGTTAACTTCTGTAATAAACCTCATAATTGTGAGTATGGTTCTTTGAGTTCTGTATGGCCACTGAATGAATTTCCAGGCCCAGTGAGAGTTGTGGAAAGGGTGTTTGGAGTTGAAATTTGTAGAAGTGCAGGAGTGTGGAGACACATCTGATTTTGTGGAAATGGGTCTGTGCTGTGGATTTGCCAATGAGGACTGTTCCCTCTTGTGGAGTTAGTAGAAGTTACTCCCATGCTACCAGCGCTCTTTTTACAGTAAATTTATTGTGGAAGAAACCAATGTTACCTACAGTTTCTTATTTTAGATTTGAGTGTTACCCACAGGTTGGTATGTTCTCTGTTCCTAGTATCTATTTCCTGTAAATTAGATTCATAAACCTGATCAAATTCTGTGTTGTTTTTGTTTCTTATTTTTTAAAAAATTCTTCATTGAGGGTCATGTTTACTGGCTTTTGCATCACTTCAAAAGAAATATAAGTCCAACAACTCTTTATGAAATTAAGAGTTGTCAGTGAGTTCAGATATTTTCAGTCCGAGCCATCCCCTGTAAATTTCCCTGATGGCCTCTCACTGCATCTCAGTCATTGCCTACCTCCACAAACTGTTGTTGTTATGTACTTTGGTGTCAGTTTCACTGGGGCTGCTGTACAGAAGACTTTCTATAATGTCTGTGTTCTCTCTGCCAAGTGTCGCTCTTTTTCTTAATCAAATACTAGTAAAACCTATTTTATCTAAAGAAAGATTTTCTTTCTTTCAGGGACAAAGGTTGGTATTTTGAAATACTAAATTTAATGATAAATTACTAAATGAATTGAGACTTTTAATTACAAACTGATCTTATTCTTGTATTGGAAAGGCAGTATGCCAAAGTCAGGTTAATATTATTTCTTTTTTTTTAATTTTTTTTTTATTATTTGTGTGTCTATGTACCATCAAATCAGATCTGACTGGTACAGGAGGAGATTGTTCCTCCTTCTCCAGCAGAGCATCTGGTGGATTTGAACCGCACACCTCCAGGATTGCAGTGCAGCTTCTTGCCACTAGGCCACCAGAGCTCGCCGATATTATTTCTAAGTCTGCCTTCATCTCATGGCTATTTTCTTCTCCTGCTGTAGCAAACTTCTTTCAACACATTCTTCCAAGCACACGCACATCCCTTGTATTTTTATTTTGGGTGAATGAACTATGAAAGGGAATATCTTTACAAATCAGAGTAGAAACAGTTAATTTTTATGAGGTCTTTTTCCTGTTTCTTAAAGCATTCATTAGTGATGAAAAAGTCATTGAGTGGCATCGTTGATATGTATTTGGCTGGTACCCAAAAGGTTGGTTGTTTGAATCCACACAGGGTCACTTCAGAAGGACAGGGCCATAAAGGAATACCACCAGCCCTGCTCTGTAACTAACTAATGGGGTCTGTGCAGGTGAACACATAAACATGTAATAATACTCATCAAACAAATAAATCAGTGATAAAAATAAGATTTCTTTTTAACTGATGTGTATGGTTCCTGCTTCAATGTTAATATGTTATGGCTTTTTTAATCCTTTAGGCTGTAAATACTGTGAAGCAAAATGTAATTGTTACCACAGAAGAAGAAAAACGAAGTCATATTCAGATTTTCCTGGAAAGTATGTCTCCCAAAGACAAAGTCATTGTGTTTGTCAGCAGGAAAGCTGTGTAGGTGCTTTTGTTCCTTTTCATCTTTTAATGATCATTGATCAAGTTGAATTTGTTTAGGATTATGTCTGTTTGTATTGCAGTTTCAAATTGTGATATGTCTGTTACAGTGTTTTGGTTGAGAATTTTAGCAGTTAATCTAGTAAATGAATGATGGCATTAGAATAGCACTGAAGAGCTCCAGCTGCTACTCCCACCAAGTGTGTCCTCCATGTACCTCTCTCTCTGAGTCCACCGTGTACATGAGGTGCATGCTGACTGTGAGAGGCAGCTTCTGTATAAAGGTGCCCACATCAGTTTTCATTACCATGACTGGGCACAGCTGTTGGTCTGGCATTGGACTGGCTACAGCAGAGCCCCTATTCTGGGATGGCTTGCTTCTAGTAATAGTATTCAGACAAGACCTACAGCAGTTATAGTCTATTGTTTTAGTAATTTCATTCCAGTGGAAAAAAAATCATTAAAATAAAAGGCCAACTTCCTTTTACTTTCAGTGCTGATCACTTATCAAGTGACCTGATTCTCCGACGGCTATCAGTTGAGTCTCTTCATGGCAACAGAGAACAGAGTGACCGAGAGAAAGCATTAGAGAACTTTAAAACAGGTACATCTCTATAACCACTAATTATTGCAGTTTAAAAACATGCTCCATTACTGAACTTTATTGAGGGATAGAACCCATTTCTAAGATGTACCCGTAGTGTACAACATTTAGATAACAGAAATGGCAAAGGAGGTTGAGTTTTCAAGTATGGAAATACAAAGGAAGAGGAACAGTTGTAAGCAGACACTGGTGATTGGGACATGGAATGTGAGAACCATGAATGTAGGAAA